CGAAACCCACTTCCGTATCATTCCCCTCTTCTTCGAGACATTCCTTGTCCTCAAGGATTCATCCTCGACCATCCAAACATCGGGCACATCTTCTTCGACCTCTAGGACTATGAACGTAACATTCTCATATACGCCTTCTTCATCCTCTTCTCGAACCTCCCCGATATCTTTGTCTCCTTCGGTCTTGACTTCTTCGAACTCGACTGAGACATCACCATCACATCATCCGCGCGCTCAATCGCGAACATCTCCTCTTTGATTTCGTGCACTTCGGCCCCTTCGGTCGTCATGTACGACTCCTTCTCACGGTTCACGGCTTATTGCTCTTCCTCCATGATCTTGAGTTGTCTTTCATACTCCTCCTTTTGCTCGTACATCTCCTCCAAATACTCTTGCTCCCAAGGGGTTAATTCCCTCTCCAAACATTCGATGTATTCGAGATCTTCCCAATCCAACTCAACTAATGCCTCGAACAACATTTTTTTTTTACTCTAGGAATAAATTCGAACAAAAAATTCGAACCAAAAAAATTCAAAAATCAAAGAGAAATTTGGCCCCTCAACAAAAGGTAATAACCGAAACAAAAATCAAACAAATGACTAGATGACACTTTTCTTTAAGACTCGAATAAATTTGAAAAATTCGAATAAATAAATTCGAAAATTCGAACCAAAAAGAAAAGAAATTCGGTCCCTCAGCAAAAGGCAAAACCGAAAAAAAAAAAGAAAAGATAGGATAGATAAAAACACGATCAGCACCTCTCATTGAAAGCACCAATGATGACGGACCGTGTTTTTACTCTATACGGGTTGTGAATAATCGCGCACTCAGGGCCTTTAATTAAACATGATAGGTGTATCTAACAGACGCACTATCGGCCTTCTCCTAGATACCGTGACTTCAAGACGCTCTAATGGCCTTCTCTCTGACACTGTATGTAAACACACACTAACGGCCTTGTTTAGACATACGTAAGAACATAAAGTTCCCCTCACAATTGGCTCACCAATTCAATACTCAATTCCAAGACATATAATAATGATGAGGTACAAGGGTATTTATAGATGCCAACTACCTCTAATGCTAATCTTACTAGGAAACTATATAAACAATAAAATATTAAATCCTAAGGCAAGTAAATATCCTACTACCATAAAATCCTAAATCTACTAGATCTCCTAATGTCTTGACTTGTACTCCAAGTAGGGAAGAATAATCTAGAGAAGATTCAGCTCAAAAAGGTCTCCCACACTAGGTTTTTTACTAGGC